TATTAACATGTTGAAAATTGGTTAACACATGCAAACATAACCGAAATAACGATCGTAACCGAACGACTTAAATCAGTCCAGTTAATTACAGTTACCAATATTTTAGTTATCAGTTCAGTTATTTCGGTTTTAGAAAATTTACAACCGAATTAACCGAACCAACCAAATGCTTCTCCTAATCATGCTTCAAGATTTAGATGACACAATCTGACTAATACCAAGCTATGCTAATAAGCCTAATAACAAAGAGTCAGATGAAATAGAAGAATCAACACCTATATAATCGTGTGAGAAAGGAAAATAAATGGCGAGCATGGAAGTGCTGGTTGAGCAAATGCCACAATACCAAAATATGCCACCATTACTGACCAATTATGGCAATTTATAACATCCATAAAGTGCTAAACCAGTGTCAATCAATAATGCCAAACATCATCTTTCATCTCCTCTCTCTTCTATGGAGTCGTTACTACACTAGGTTCATTATAAGTTTCAAGATGACTGCATTGGAAGTTCTACAGAGTGTAATTCCTAGAGAGCATCTTTAAAAGCTTCCAAAGAAATAAAAATAACTCAGAACCAGGATAAAACAATGGATTAGTGCAAATTCTACAAAGGCAGATCAAGATTCAAAAGGTGCTATAGAAAGAGAAGAACTATAAGCACTGATACAATAATCCCTAACTTTAGTTAGATAGAACTAAACAGTGCCAATTCTAAGAATCTGCCATCCACTATATGCATCTTATTCAACATTTATTTTTATCTAGAGCATTAAAGAATCTAAACTTCAGTAAGGCTCTGCTGACAGTGTAACAACAACTATTTCCCAACAAAGAACCAAAAAAAATAACTAAAATGAGAACAACATCATATCAACTGCAAACGTAACAACAGAGGTCGAAAACCTTAATTCATTTGTAGTAATTTATTGGAATACAAACGGACACTGCTAGAAAGTGATGACAGAGATTAAAGCAGGAAATCAACAAGGATAATGTCTAGGAAATAAAAGAGCACCAGGAAAAAGGATTCGAGTTCAATCTAGCGACGCTTTTGAGTCCTGCAACCACAAGTAACTATCAAAAAAAAAACCAAGAAGAATAACATTGCAAAGAACGCGCCAGGCAGCAGCTAAATAGTTCAGGCTAGCCATAGCAGAACTCAAACACATTCTCGAAAACCAAGATCTGTCATTTTTCTGAACTAAAATGACAAATCTCTTAGCTATCGAACGAATGTCGGAATACTTCTGCATACAAGAATGCAGAAATAATCCAAAACAACAAGAAAACCCAATTCACAGTATATATCAGTCACTACATATTTATAAAATCATAAACTTCTCAAAGCAATTATTAGAGAATGACAAATTTTCTTCATAGATTTCCATAATCACAACTACCAAAAAAGAAAAAGTCAAAATTTAATTAAACAATAGCATAAATGATAAACCTTTTACAAAAACCATAAAAATAAATAAATTTTACTGACCTGATCCTCCAGCCAACCCCGCCCTTCCTCCGGACCCGGCCTCTGCCCCACCATACCAATCTTCTCTCCTAGCCATCTTCCCAGCACTCCCAACATCCTCTTGCTCCGCGTACTCCTCCTCGTAATATTCTCTTCCTTTCCCTTTCTTTGCCCCCGCTGCCACCACAGCAGATCCCGCCACGGATCCCACGGTCCTCCCTGTCTCCCCCCCGCCATGGTAATCATGATGCGATACACTACCGGAAGCCGCCCCCGTCCCCATTGTCTTGTAAGTCGAAACATGGTGCCTAGGCCCAGGGCGCCCGCCGAGAATACTCCTCTTCGGGAGAAGAAAGTAAAATTCTTTGTCGCCGATTTGGAGGAGGTCCTGCGAATCGAGCTTGACGGGAGGGTTACCTGGGAGGTGGAGGACGCCCTCGACAAAGCAGCCGTTTTTCCCGAGGACTTCAAGTGCGAAACGGCGACGCGTGAAGTCATAGAAGATTCGGGCGTGGTGGCGGGAAATGTTCATGCCGCCGCCCAGGCTCGCTAAGTCGACATCAACAGTCGATTTCTTGGAGTTGCGGCCGAGCATTATGGAGTAGGTCTGCATATAGTACTCGAAGTCTTCGCCTTGTAGCTTCGCGAACCCCGCCTCCACGTTGCTCCCACTCGTCGTCCCCATTGCTTTAGATTGCATTTTCAATTCGATTGGCGTTTATACTGTTTGGTTGAATTCAATTTGTTTTTTTTTAATCAGTAATCTACAACTCCGTTGTGAAATTACTATTTTACCTTTCAATTTTAAATTTTGGAAAAGTTGATTTATTTGGTAGGTTAAAGATTTAAATGCAAAGTTTCCAAAAAAGATGATTAGCATATCTATGAATAATGTCATTACCATTTTAAATTTTGTACTTAAATATTTTAACTAAATTTAATAATAAATTATATTTATTAACCCATTTTTTCTTATTTAATTTTTATACATTAATTAAATTTATTAATTATTTTTATAAATAAAACAGTAAAATAAATTAAATATAATGATTTATTAAATAAGTTAAATGAAAAAATTATTTAAAAAAACTCTTTTTTGTTAAAATTTTTGATAACATTAATATTATTTTATTTTATACCATGAATTAAAATATATGTCAGTTATATAATAAAATATAAATATTTTAAAAATTCATATAAATTAAATATTTAAATACGTTTTATTATGTAATTTATAAATAATTATTTTTTATATATTTAACTTTAATAACTAACAAAATATTATTAAATTAAAATTGATACATATATTAAAATATGTAAAAAATAAAACTATTTAAATAAATCATTATAATTTAATATACTTTATTTTAAAATTATATTTTAAAATTAATTCAATAAAAAATATAAATTTTTAGTTTAATTCGTCAACCTAATTTATTTTAGGTCAAATTATGGAATTAATTATTATACTAATATGAAATTTGAACTTTAGTCCTATATAATAATTTACAAAAGTTATATTATCACACTAATTTAATTTATCAATATTGATCCAATTTATAATTATATTACTTAATCCCTATTAAATTAACAAACGTGACCATTAACTATGTTGACGTAACATTTACTTTAATGACATGACATTTACTTATTAATGTGGTAATTAGGATTGTTGAAATCAAATATTAAATTATACAAATAATTATCGTACTCATATAAAATTTGAAATTTAATTATTTTGACACAAAAAATATTTTAAATTTTTAGAAAATTTATATTTTTTAAAACATTAAATTTTAAAAATTGTTACAATATTATATCATAATATTCTATGATAATATTGAAAAATCTATCACAATATTTAATCACAAATTTTTATATATTGTCATTAAATCTATCATAATTTTTTGTTACTCTTGTAAAATACTATTATTAGTTCTATTGCTATTTTTTATTGCATTATGTTATAAAATATATATATGTCATTAATTTAGTCACACTTTTCTATCATAATTATAATATATTACGGTCATATGAAAATAATTTTTAAACCAATATATTAAAAATATGTCCCAAAATTGTACATAAATAATATAAAATTGTCACCATCTAATTTTAATAAAATTATTATTTTTATTAATTTATCTAATAAATTTGATTTATAATTGCATCCCATTAGGGTTAAATTAACCATAACTAAAATTTTATATTCTTTAAAATTAAACCATATTTAAATGATTTTTTATAGTCAAATATATATTCAAGATTTTAAATACATTAAAGTAATTTGCTAAACTCAATGTGCATTAATTGTAAAATTAATCTTATTATTTAATTTAACACAATTATTTAAATAATTTTTTTTGAATACTAAAAAAATTGAAAGTTCTCATTATGATACACAATATTGATATTTTGATTTATCAAATAAATAATTTCCTTTTTTCATTTTATTATGATTCAATGTTTGTCTTTAAAATGGATAAGAGTTTGTCCCTCATAAGAATTTACGTATGAATCTTTTATTTTGTTTGGTTAGATGGAATGATCATTTTATTTATAATCTATTTCGAATTCATTATAAAATGCAATTCTATTGAATAGTTTTGTTTATTATAAAATTTGTCATATGATATATTTATACTAACTAAAATAATATTAACTTTGATATGTTAATTTAAATTATTAATATTATAATTTATTAACATAAATGATAATAATAATATTATTAATATGATATTATTAATAATTAATTATATATAATAACAACTAATATATTAAAGAAACTAAAATATTTTTAAAATTTAACATTTTTACTAAAATAAAAAAATTCAAATATTTTACTATTAATATGATATTATTAATAATTAATTATATATAATAACAACTAATATATTAAGTAAACTAAAATATTTTTAAATTTTAACATATTTATTAAAATAAAAAAAAATTCAAAATATTTGTATAGTAAAAGAACTATTTTCAAAATTCATGTAAATAAAGGAATTAAATTTTAAATTTCATTAAAATAAAGAGATAAAATTTTAAATTTCGTATGAGTATAAAAACTATTTATATAATTTAATAATTGATTTAATTAAGTTTAACTGACACATTAACAAATCAGTGATACATCATTAAAGTTAATGCTAAGTCAATGTGATCAATGATCACATCAATTAATTTAACGAAAATCAAATAATACTATTATTAATTGAATAAATATTATTAAAATAAACCAATATAATAATTTAATTTATATAAATTATTATATAAAAACTAGAGTTTAAATTTTATATACTTATGAAGATTAATCGCATAATTTGACCTTTATTTTATAACCAAACACACTGATATCGGAGCTTTGTTTTCTCTGGACTCTGGTGCCTTTTTCTCTTGCCTTAAAGCCCAGCTTTGTTTCTTTGTTCTATCCATGGCTGCTAGCCAGCCCACCTATCTGAACCCGCCCGTATGAAGGGATACGAAAACCAAAAAACCAAACAAATTCCTGCTTGATTTAAGAAGAGCCCAAATCAAATGACCCAAGTTCCGTGGCCGTACATAGCAAAAACACCTTCGCTCAGCCATTGTTCTGTCCTGTTTTCTTCTTCATTTTTTTCTTCCTATCGTCGGCTGCCGTCCCATCTGACTCTACTCTTCTGTCGGCGTGTTTTTAGTTAAAGGTATGCTCTTTTATCAGCCCATTTACTCGTTTTTCATCTGATTGTTTAATTACATTAGAAAAATAAATCTTAATTCAAACTGCCAGCTGATTTTCTTTGGGAAATTGCGCAAGGGCATTGAGTTCCATTGATGCAAAAGCAAAATGGGACTTTGTCAGCTTATAGTTTTGAACCGTTTGGGTTGCTTTTCTTTTCTTTTTGTGTGTGATCATTTTCATCATTTGAATGGGTTTTAGTTTGCTTAAATGATTGGTTTTAGGCTTTTGAGCTATGTAATTTAGATTTGAGAAATAGTTTATCCCTTTACTTGAATTTGCCAGCTGATGTTCTGGGAATTTTTTGCTAAAGGGCTTTGAGTTCCATTATCATGCAATAATAATGAAATTTCATTTATGTTTTTCTTGATACGTCTGTGTTTACAGTGTTGCACATTGTTTTGATCATGCCAAAACAGCATTTTTTTTTTCTCCTTAGCTATGAATGTTGAACCTCTAGTCATTTTACAAAAGGGCAATCTAAACTCTGTCCCTGCTAATTTTATGGTTCGATTAGAGCGAACAAGATATTAAAGATGTCATTAAGGCCCTCTTTGTTTATTTTAAGCATACGAGTCAGGGCTTCTGTTCTGCTTATTCATGTTTTTTTGGGTTTTTCCGACCGAGAGTAGACAAATTGGATGTTGTTTATGTTTTATCTCAGGAATTTCTTTCTTGATGATTTTTCCACTTTGTTTTGCAGTTTAGCTTCTCATTGCTATGCGTTTTTCTTATTTATATAAATCTTTGTATATTTGGTTATTTTATAAATATCACATACAAGTTCGACATGCTCATGCATAGACACGCATTAGGTGCATTGAGTGGTTATCAATACTTGAGTCTTTGATACATCACTTGATTGTTTGTATTTTTGCTTTTTGCCTAGGCATCATCGGGCTTGAAATAAAATCAGGACTTCTGAGCTAATTATCATTGCCAATCCGATGAAGCATGTTTTGAAGATTTTCTCTCTGCTGCTGGTCATCTCTGCACTTTGGATTGGCCTCTTGCAGGCATCCATATTGCCACAAAGCCATACCTGGTTGGTGAGTTTGTTTTTCTGCCTTAATGATCTTGTTTTATTTGTATCCACTTGTTCTAATGCGTTACCACTTACTTTGCACTATAAAAATTTTCCAGCTACCTATCTATTTTATTGTGTCACTTGGATGCTATGGTTTATTAATGGTTGGAGTTGGTCTAATGAGATTCCCAACTTGCCCTCAAGAAGCATTGTTGCTGCAGCAGGTATTTCATCTTTAAATTTTTTATTATTATTACAAGATTTTAAATTATATAACGGAACGTCTTCCCCTTTTCCTTTCCTCTCCTTTTGTTTTTCCACTGTGTTTTTTAGGAGGCTGATAATATCTACTGTGGTTGGGACCTGGAACTTGAATTTTCTTCTCATCTGCTATAAGCAATCTGTTTGTAACATTTTTGGGGAAGTTTTAATAAGTTTGTGCTGACGATTATTATAATTTGTTGGCTTGATTTATTTTCCGCGGTTCGATAATATGTGGAATGTTTATAGGACATTGCTGAGGCCAAGGGCTTTCTGAAGCAAAGCGGGGTTGATGTTGGTTGTAAGTGATGGTTGCTTTGTAATGTCTCTTCTTGGACCCAAGTCAGAACAAATTGCTGCTAGCTTTGTCAATGGACCAGAGAGGAAAATTACAGATTGGGAACAAACTTCAAAGTATACATACCTTTCATAGAAGAATTATAATTGTATTGAGAAATATTTTGGGGTTTATCATAGTTGTTGAGTAATTTTCCCTCAATTTAGCCCATTTAAAGTATAATATAATATAAGGAAGGTAAATAAATCCTCATTTTTATGTAGATTTAATAATTTAAAATATGATATGATAATACGATACGAATAAGAGAGATATGAAAGTGACAGTTTAAAATTTTAATAAAAATCATAAATATGATTAACAAAACAATAAATATATATTTTATATTTTTGTGATAATATGAATTGTTATATGTAATTTTTGTAAAACGTGATCTGAATATATAAGTTGTTAATGTTTTATATGATATGAATACACAAATTATCATAATTATATTCGCGCAAGAGAAATGCAAACGAATTGTCACTTTCATGCCAGAGAAATGCGAGGAAGAAATTGCAGCCCCGTAACCATTTTGTATAGAATTGGATCATCCAACCTCTTCTCTCATTTCAGGAAAGCTCAGTCTCGGCTTTTAGTGAATCGTTTTGGCACCACTCGATTAGGTTCAAATCTTCATTGAATGGCTAACGCTATGCAAATGATGTTTCGTACATGAAGCAATTATTTCAATATATGTTCATTTTATTCAAATATTGTCATGTAGTTATGTTGTTGAAAAAATTATAATTTATTATATATTTAAATGATAAATATTTATTTTAATATCTAATAAATAATTAATTGTTTTATAAATACAATTACGTGTTAAAATTTAGATTAAAAAAAAATATGTTGATATAATATAATTGTTCTATACAATTATTTTCATGCTTCGTTTATCGAAAATCTCTCCTATCATATATAAGCTGGATCGGCCCATTTATATTGTATTTATTATTAAAATAATTTCAAATCTATTTTAAAAATTAAAATCAAAAGAATATAATAATATCACGTGCTGAGCCTAAACTTAAAAAATATGCATGAAATTCACTTGTTAATAACTCGACCTTTGGACGGTCTATTTTACTTAGTTATATGTTAAATATTATTTTTTAAATGCATTTAATGTTTTCATAATTTTTAATTGAAGAGTGACTAAAAATAAAACATTGGCTGTAAAGTTATTTTTTATGTGAATTATAAATTTATTTAAGTTACTTTATATAATTATTTTGTTTTTTATATAAAAGAAATTACAATTTAAATTAACAAAAGATATTATAAGTGTTTTGATTTGAATTTTAAATTTATTAAATATTACCGCTTAATAATATTATAGGAAACAACTTAACTAAATTTCAAGTTTTTTATGTAATCACTTTTAGAGATGATAACAATTCAAATCAGGTTGAATTCAATTTAATTTTTTTGGATAATAGATAATATTGTAAATTTTTAAAATTCGATCTGAGTCTTAATCAATTTTTTTTTTAAATCAATTCGATTCGAATTCAATTCTACTGATTCAATTATATTCGGTTTATTGATTTTTAAATTTAATTTTTTTATTTTTATATATTATTTTAATTAAAATTTTAATATATTTAAATAGATTTTTATAGATAGTAATTATTTTATTTTATAAAAATTTAATATATATATATATAAAAACTAATAAAAATATATAATTTGGTTCAATTATGTTTTTTTTAAATTTTTTATATTGTGATTCAAAATTCGATTTGAACATAATATATATATTTAATATTCGAATTTGATCCAAACAGAATAAAAAAATCGATCCAAATAGAATCAAATACAATGGTTTCAAATCAGTTTTTGAATTTTTCAAATTTTTTTCTCACCCCTAATCACTTTTAAATGGTAACATCCAAAAATTTTAAAATTTAAATGTTAACATTTATAATACCTTTTTATTTTTTTTATTTTCAAATTATGATTTTTTTAAAGAGTGTTGAAAGTGAATATTTTTAGAAAAAACTTGACCACATGGAGCTTTGATATTTTTATAAGTAAGATATTGCCATAATATCATTGATGCTGTGACAACCAATCAACATTTCCTGTGCCCTCGACGCCTCAATAATGTCTTGAATTTGTTCCGTTCTTACCAAACATAGAATTAAAGTTGAAACAAAAGCCACTTTAATATTATATTTGGTAAGAGCAAAAAAATTTTAAGACGAAAGCCCCAATGGTGATGATTTAAAATTTGGCTAAATTCCAAAGTTTTTTATTTCCCATTATACCAAATTTTGATATGATTCAAAAGTTTTAAAATCAAAATCAACCTCAAATGATGACGAAATGAAGTCAATTACATCAAGCATATTAACATTAAATGCTCACCCACTTTAAAGTTGACGCAATCAAAAGTAATTTAAGATAAATGCTAAAGAATAATTAATAAGTGATTAATTTAATTAATTAAGATTCTTTTTTATTAAGAGATTTTGAATTTGAGTTTTATTAGTAATAATTTATTAAGATCATTTTAAATATATAATTTGTAATTATTTATCTTATATTATTAAATATGACACATCTTATTTTATCTTAAGAGATTAAATATTTTATTTATTTTTAAATTTTTTTGAAAAAAAAAAGACAAATGCTGTGAAAATGGATTATTTTAATGTAAAAGATATTATAATCTTAAAATGAATAAAATATTATAAAACTTTTTTTTGGAGATAAAATATATTAAAATATTTATTTTTTAATAAGAATTATTTTAATCTTTAGTGGTATCAATTTCATATCGTTTAAGGGGCAAAACTTTCAATGTGGCATTGAGTATTATTTTATTTTATTTTATTTTTTATTATTTAAGTGGTAAAATTTTCAACGTGGCATTGAGTATCATTTTATTTTATTTTATTTTTCTCTTTCTTATTCCTTTCCTTTTCTTGAAGAGTGTTGCACCAAACCTAAAGCTCTTTTAATCTTTTTTTTTTTGGTTTTCCACCAATACTTTTGTTAATCATTTTAATCTAATTTCTTTGTATGGTGTAAAGATAAATAAAACCCCCTTTCCATTGGATGAAATCATTTTGTTTTTGTTGTTTTTGTGAAGTTTTTGGGTGATAGTTTCACTCGTTTTTTTGTTTTATAACATGTCCATGACTTCACCATTCCCAAATTAAAAAAAAAAAAAAACTATTTGGTTTTGTTTGAAGTAAAAGGTAAAATTATGTATGAGTTAGAGCAAGAATTTCAGTTTAATTGAGTTGAATTAATTTTGATGGATTCTTTAAAAAGTAGTATTATGAATGATAATTGATTAAATTGAATTGGATTTAATTTAAATTTTTTAGATAATGTATAAAATAATAAAATTTTAAATTTCATATCAAATTTTTATGTGATTCGATTCAAAACAAAATGAATTTTATCAATTCAATTTCATTTATCAGTTTTTAAAATTTAATTTTTAATTTTTTATATATTATTTTAATATGATTTTTAATAATTTGAAATAGATTTAAGTATAAAATAATTATTTTATAAAAATAAAAATAAAAACATTTATAAAAACTAATAAAAATATATAAGTGAGTTCGGATTGATTTTTTTTTTAATTGTTCACTTTTCAATGAAAAAATTCGGTTCAAATCTAATATATATATATATTTAATATCTAAATTTAATTTATATCAAATAAGAAAAATAATCAATATTGTTTGAATCAAACATTATAATTTTAAATCAATTTTTGATTTTTTCAAATTTTCTCATCCTTAACCAGTATAGTTGATTTCGTGTTTGATACAATACCGTAAAAATAGATGTTTAAGTTGAAATAAAATGATTGCTCACTAAGTAAAATCGGGAGATTTGGAGAAGGAGACAAAAGTAAGATTAAAAGTTCATTTAGATAGATGATGAGATTAATTTAAGTGAGATTAAAAATAATTATGGAGATGAAATTAAATATTATAACGGTAAAATTAAAATTAATGGTAGAATATGTGTTTAGAGTAAGTGATAATGAAAATGACCATTAAAGATTTATTCTAAAAATATATTGATAAATTATTTTTATATATTTTAATATTATTTATAACATTTAAAATTTTAAAAATTTTATTTAATCAAAATATTAATATATTTTATTTATTATTATTAAATTAATAAAAAAAATTTAAAATAAAGAAATGAAAAAAAAAAGTAAAAGGTTAAAATGGTAGGGATAATTTTGTCAAGTCACTATAGCTTTAAGGGTAAAAAAATAAAAAACCAGAAAGACTAGGACAAAATTGAAAGAAAGCCGCGATGAAAGAAAGTGATTTTTCACTGGAGCTAGGAGCTCTAGTGGAGAGTAACTCAGTGGAGAACTGAAGGTCACCAAAACTTACTGGTGTTATCCAAACACCAAAATAGCACGATTTAAGCCAAAAAAAAAAAAATGATGCAAATCGCACCTCACCATGGCTCGGATAGAATCCAAATGGAGCCTAAACAAAAAAAAAATATTGTTGCATCAAAAGAACTAAAACAAGGAATCATCGTTGGAGTTTAAAAGATCATGACATGAATGAACACGAGGGGGATTACCTGAACAGTTTCTAAATGAATCTACGGTACCAAAGTGTTCGGAAAGAAAATAAAAAATATGTTGGCTAATGTTTAAAAGCCATACATTATGGTAGGCTGCCGGAAATTACTAGCGGCAACCATCGTCACTCATAGTGTCGTACAAGTAAATTTAGCATAATTTCTCTTTTATGGTAAGAACTGGTGGTCACTTTAAAAAAACAGAACGAAATGTATAAATCATTTCAAAACAGAGCAAATTCATGCTTGTCCAAATACAAGTGTAAGTTATGGCACAATCACAATCCAATAGCTATAACTTTAATCAAATATTGCATTAGAAAAAACGAGACAATATTGAATATGAAAAGTGTAAATGATATGTTAATAATTATAAATTATTTAGATTTGATTTAGATAAAATTTAAATTTAATTTAAGTAATTGTTGAGTCGAATTCAAATAGCTCGATTTATTAAACATGTTAAATTTAAATATTTTAATATTTAACTAAAATAGTTCAATAATCTAATTAAAAATTTAAATTTTAATTATTTTAATTATAAAATTACTGTTTTATTTTTATATAT